ATCATTTAAATGGGTAATTTATGTCCTCATCTTGTTTTTGCCATGGGAAAACTCTCCATCGGCATCATTTGAAGAAGATAGACTGGACTTTACTGTCCCAATGATCTAACAATTGCTTAATGCAAAAAACTCAAAAAAATTAGTAAGAAAGTAAATTTTTGAAAAGGTACATGACAACAATGAAATTTGTCAAGTCAAAATTTATTGTCAAGAGGCTAAATAAACACATCTAGTTAACTAATTATGCTTTGATTATTTTTTACATTGTGATTGCTTTGTATCAAAGGTAAATAAAATTTGTCAAGTAAAAATTTATTGTTAAGAAGCTAAATAAATAAGTCTAGTTAATTAATTATGCTTTGATTATTTTTCACATGGTGGTCACTTTGTACCAAAGTTAAATGGCCTCATTGTATACTTTTTCTTTTCCAATTTAGGATGGAAATATTACAATTTTTTCAATGTGAAAATTTTTTTTTACTAGACATCTTAATTGACACGTGTAATTTTTATTAACAATTGAAATCAAATGAAAACTAAACAAATTACTTAGTGAAAAAATAGTTTTCAGTGTTCAATTACTCGGACTCACCCTTGGACTCCACAAGTGCCCAAAGCAAGGAGTTATTTGAGTTTAGTTTTTTTTGGATCGATCAGTGGGGAATACATGACCCTACCCATATTAAAAATAATTAGTGGTTTTCGAATGCATCAGTGAGAATGGAAACCTAGATCGGTAGCTGAGGCTCAAGTGGTGCTACCACCAAGACCTCAACCTCATTACCGGTCATTGAGTTTAGTTGTGAAGGGCAAGTGGCCACAGAAAAATCACAAAAATTTCAAAAATTAACAAAAACTAACAAAACAAATCACACAAATCCTAAAAAAATAAAATATACAAGGAGACAATAAAATTTTGATTTTGTTACGTTGGAAAAAACTATAATTTGTTAAAATTTAAATTGGAAAATAAAAAATTCAAAAGCTAATCATGCATAATCTTCTTGCTCGTGTTGATCCATGCCTCCAACATTGGTCGAGGTGACCTTAAATACCCCACAATAAAACCATAAGACATATTGGAAGTTCACGTTTAAATGTAGTTGACCAAGCTCTTGAAAATTTTGGTCAAACAACTTCTCTTGTTTAAATTCTAGCAAATTCAAGATTTTGAGAGGTTTTTGTGAGAGATAAATCAATCATTCGATCATCATTATCATCATATGAGCTTTATCCAAATCATGTGGGGTCCGCCACTTGAATTACATTCCGTCATTTTGTTTTAATAAGGTTCATATCCTCTGTTAGACCATAAGTCACCATATATCTTCTGATTACATCCATCCATATTCTTTTGGGCCTTCCTTATGCCCATTTAGAGTTTCTACTTGTTCCAAACCACTCCTAATTAGTGTTGTTCTAAGTCGATGATGCACATGGCCAGACCACATAACACTACTTTCCCTCATCTTGATGCTTATTAGAGCTCCCCCTTTGTTCCCTTGGATATTCATTTTCAATTCTATCATTTTTTGTCTTACTACTCTTCTATCACAACACCCTCATCTCAGCTCCACTCATTCTATAGATGTGTTGTTTATTGACCGCCCAACATTTTGCCCAATAAAGCTTTGGCTCAATAAAAATTTGAAAAATGGGCTTAAGTAAATAATTTGAACCACAACTGAGCCAAATGTGGAAAGAAATCTCAAGTTTTGGAAATAATACTTTTAGAAAATAGATCAGTGGTGTCGACTACCCACCTACCAATCCCAATCAAGATTGTCTTGATCAACGATCCAGTAATATAAAAAAATTTAAAAATACCAAAATAAAAAAAAACTAAAAATTGGAGGAGTAAATTATTGAAGCTCTAAAAGTGAGCCAGTGGGATCACAAGAAAAAATGAGCCCAACGGCTCAGATTGAATCTAGGCTGATCTGACGATCGCGGATGTCCGGAGTGTTTGAATTTTAATTCTTCTTCCACAAATCCAAATCACTTGAAATTTTAGGCGTGTGTTCTTCTCATCAAGCCGTACCCAATAAAAATATAAAAAAAAAAATCTGCAAAGAATGGCTAATATACCCCCAAAACTTTATAGGGGTATTTTGGTTAATTTTTTATGTAAAATATATTTTTGATATTTTTCAAAGATTCACCTATTTTTTATGAAAACACGCCTAAAATTTCAAGTGATTTTAATACTTTTAAAAAAATTAAAAATCAAACACTATTGAGCATCCGTAATCGTCAGATCGATCCAGATTAAATATGGGCTGTTGGACTCATTTTTATTTGTGATTCCAATTGCTCACAGGATCATTGTCCATATATGGGTTTTTCTAGAGTTAACAACCCTTCAAAATACAATGGTTCAAGTTACAAGGCGTTGTAATTGGTGTATTTATCAAAACAATCATTACTTTTGTATTAAAAAATTACTTAAACACGTAACTTTACCATCAAGCAAGGCGAATTTGAAATTTTCACAAAAGTACAATGACATTTTCGAAGTTAGTGTCATAGAACTTTATTTGTAGAGTGTAATTATCTTTTAGTTAAAATTTCAATTTTACCTCTTATAGAGATGACAAAAATATCATTTGTATTGTAGTAATATTTATAAAATTTCCCCACAAAAGTAATTTTTTTCAAAAAATAGGCTACAAAATTAATATATCCACCCTTCACAACTCTCTCTATCTTGAAACTTTGTAATTTGAAGGGTTGTGAAGTTTATATATATATATATATATATATATATATATATATATATAGTAAGAAGATACTATAGTGCGTACCGTACGTACGTACTACTATAATAATACGTACCCGTACCGACGTAACGTTACAACTACTCGGTACTCT